AACTTAGTAACATTATACTATCTATTTATAATTAATTTTATTGTTTTATTGCCCTTTGAACCGTGTCTAACTGCTATCCCCGCCATTATAAGTTGTAAATCACTCGGGGAATGTGCAGCTCACATTACGCTATCCAATTACATTACCCACGAGCTGCTCGCGTGCGTGCCTCGTGAACCATTTTAATTATATTCTTTATTATTATTACTTATTTTACCTTGTCTAGTCTTAAATAACTTGTTAAGCCTGATTTTTTTTAGTGATTATAGCAAAACCTTGATTTTCTCTTGGTTATAAGTAATATATAATGAAACGTAAGAGAGAACTATCAACAAATTGTGAAAGAGAGGATGTTACAAGTGGGTGTGGCAGGAGGGGTCTGATTTTCTATTCAATAGCTCTGTAACCAAACAAAACTGAAGGCTATAAAGATTATGGTCTGTTTGAGCAATAATGATTTTATAGAGAGTATTTTATGTTTAATTTCGCACATTTTCAAGAGGGTGATGAATAAAATAGAGATGATGACATGCTAAGATAAAATGTGTCACGTATGTCGCACTAGTGGAAATTCAAGATTTTTTTTATATATTTCCTTGTAGAATTAAGAACTTAAAACTTGTATACTATTAAAATATGGATTATTAGCTAAGATTTTATGGTATTCTAATTGGTATAACATAAACAAAAAGTAGTTTAATTAAATTTTGAATGTAAGACACTAAAACTTTGTGTCGTGCAGTAAAGTGTACCCAGGCCAACAGGGTTAATGTAGTTATTTGCACTTGGAATCTGAATAGTTCACCTGCAAGTGGATTTTCATTAAAAATGAAAATACTATTTAAAAAATACTAGTTAAAAAATACTATTTATTATCTTACAGTTTTTACATTTCATATGAATAATCTCTGGAACCTCCTAAATGAATATAAGATGTTTTTTAAGGTAAATGTTACTATTTTATTATTCATATCACTAACTCTAGCTATTATGATCTACGTACGGTGCAATGAAAAATTTAAAATTAAGAAATGGAATATAAAAATATCTTCTTTGGATCATATGCACAATTCCAAAACATACTTACCTCTTCTCACACTGATAGATATTACTCGAGTGCCAGGGTTTTTTCCTTTGCTCATCTAAGCATTGGTCTGATTTTTTTCTCACTTGCTCCAGTTTTTTTATATCCCACTCAGTTGCCCTTGGCGATATTTATCATATGAATTGCCCTTGACGATATTTATTTTGTGATCCTCTCCACCTGGATCAGTGCACCCCCTATCTTGGTACTGTATATAAGCACCTCATTCAGATTATGTTATCACTTTTTCTCGACAAAGCGTCACTAATGGGTTTCCCAGTATTATGATCATTTGGGGATACTTTGAACATTATCAATGTTGTCT